TTCGATTAGAAATCAAAAAGTTAAAATAGAAGGATTACCAAATTTGATCAACTCGATTCTCGGATATAAATTAGGAAATAAAATAATTACCACTAAATAAGAAAAATAAATCACCTAAATCAATGGAAAGAACATAATAGGAAATAACCTAAAAGTAAAAAAAATCTCCTAAATTTGGGCTTGATCGGTTCTAATAAACAGAAATAGATTCTTAAAATTATTCCACACTCCCCATCAAGTTTGGTTATATATGTTGATTGAATCCAACTTGGAACTTAACTCTTCAAGATTTATGTATGGTAGTGCCTTAGTCAAGATGGCAATAATTTAATCACGTGTAGGAATGTAGGATAAGTTGATCTTCTCTTTTATGAAATGATAATCGATCTCTACATATTTGGTCCGATCATGATGAGTTGGATTTCTTGCAATGCTTATTGTAGCTTGATTATCACATAGGACATTCATGGAGTTCTCACATGATAACTTCAATTTATAGAGTAATCATTTTAGCCATGTAACTTTGCATATACTTAGAGCCATAGCTTTAAATTTGGCTTCCGTACCACTCCTTGCTACAAAGGACTCGCTTTTTACTCGCCAAGTAACTAAAATTTTTGAATCCTAAATATTTTTTAAAAAATGAAGAATTAATTGAATTTTCATTTTTGTTTGGGTCTCTCCTCCGCGTTTATGAATTGATCGATCGACTAACTAAGGGTCATATGAGTACGACTTAATATATTTGTCATGTGATGTGCTTGTCTTGGAAATTTCACCGACACTTGGCACGACACATGTTACCCATTTCGTTTTTTTCTCCCTTTCAAAAAAATAAAAAATAAAAAATTATTTGTCGTATTATACCCTTGTAATAAATGACATTTATTTTCTCTAGCGATTTCTCATATTATCCTTAACAATAAATCGTATAAAATTTTCATACATTGTAAGTTTAAAATTAGCTAATTTATTTATTTATATCCATGGCATTTTCCTATTTCCTCAATGCCGGTGGCATTGGATGGACAGATTGAAACAACTTATTGGTTTCATATATATACCTTTTCTTTTTTCTTCTTTTATTTTCATATCTTTTTTTATCTTTTATATTTTTTAAAGTTAGTGAAAAATCGTTATTAGTCCCTAAAAATTAGATAGGAGACTTGTTAATTTTCACCTAATATATATATATATTAATGTTAATTCAAATCCATCACCTTAGTAATGAGAATGTTCTCCGACATACTTGGTTATATCAAGACTTAAACTGAATTCGATGTTGAATTAATGAGACTCCTAGTGACGGGATTCAATGATTGATTCAATATGATGTCGCAAATTAAAAAAATTAATTTGACCTAGAGAATAAACTTGGAATTTTGACTTTGGAATAATTTTGGCAAAAGTAGAAATTTTTATGAGATAAAATTTTAGTATTAAACTAGACAACATATCTTTTTTCGAAAAAGATACTTTTGGATGATTGATATCTTTCTAAAAGTATAACCAACTCCTTATCCTAAAATTTCCGAACTAGTGCTATTTTTAAGTTTTTTAGTTTCCTTTAATATTAGGTGGCGACTTCAAAACGTGCTTTAACTCACATCTCTAATAAATAGACAAAATAAAAAAAATTTAAAATTAATTTTTGGAAGTCCCCTAAATGTCAAGTAGTGACAAGACTAGTAGGATAGAGAATTTTGTTGATCTAAATACTAGTTCGATATAAGATGATGATGATTTAGATATTTCTTACATAATTGATATTAGATTGGCTGAAAAGATATCTATCATACATCATGATATGAAAAAGCATGGTGAGATGCTTGAGATTGGAAAGGAGTATGCTATGGATAAGTATGGTAATATGCTTAAATATTATGGTATGAATATTGTGGATGTACGATTTTTGTTGCTAGTATTGTTGCCGATTGTGTTGACCAAGTTATTGTTATAAGAGTTAATGATGTCGCGGTGATTCATATGGATAGCATGAATGTTTTTGGGGCAAATAAAGGTTACTTAAGGACTTTTTGAGATGGAGGAATTAACGAAAAGGTTGTTTCCATAAGAACCAACTAAACTTACTAGTTGATGTTGATAAACTCGAAGGAGCATCCCTCAAGACTTAGTCGAAAGTTTTCACTTTGTAGTGGTTGAAGCTTTCAGCCTCTATCTTATTTGTTTCATTATTCTTTTAATTATTTGAGTTATTTTTATTTGTGTGGAATTAGGTTAATTAATTAGTGCTCATGGTTTTTGGATTTCTTATTTATTTAGAGATATGGCTAAATGTGTAGTCTAGGTGGGTGGTTGGAGGCTTGTGTGTTATGGATCCTTATTTATTTAGGAGTCCTTATTTAACTATGAGACTATGTAATACGTGGATATATATTTAATTGAGCTAACTTAATTGAGTCCTAATTAAATGTGGGTTGCATAAGTTCAAGATTATTAGGAAAGGAGGGAAATCTAGCCAAGGGGAGAAAACTCATCCCTACCACATCTTTTAGGGTTTAGGGAGTGAGTATTTAAGCAAACTTTGTGCTCCTCTTTGGTAAGACTTTTGATAAACATCTGAATGAAAAACTAGAGAATTTTCTTTGTATATTTTTATGTATTTTCTTTGCTTGGATTGGCTAGGACATCGTGAAATACATTCTTAGAGTGATCGACTAAGATGAGCTTAGATCGATTGCATTAGATGGACTCTTGAAAAATATATCCCGTGAGAACTTTCTAAATCATCTTAGGAGGTAGAATCTTCTCATGAGCAAAATACCGAGGTTTGCACTTTACTCATTTGATTGTTAAATTGACAATTGCCTTAAATGCCAAGACTAAACAATTTCGATCTCAAAATTGATAACCAAGGCTATAAATTTTTGTTTGTTCTGAAATTTTGATAGTCTACTATTAAGGAGTTGATTTAACTCTTGTAAAAAAAAAAAAAAAAATTTATTGGATTTGTTGAAGTCATTGCAATTTTTGGATCCTATTCTGTCTAGAATTTCTACTTGTTTAAATAAAGATCTATAGGGATTGGATTGACTTGAAATTTGGTACACACACTTCTAGAAATTATCTACATTATGGTAAAATTTTATTCTATTCTGAGTTGATTTGCTTGGGTAACGCATTGTCTCTGATTGGTGGGTTCCTTGATTGTTGTTTGGTAATTTCAAAATCTTACTTGTGTTTGTGTACGTGGGTTTGTTTGTTTGTGAATTGATTTGTAACTAAGGTTTGTTTTAAGGTGTTTTTGAGGCTGGAGTGTTTCAGTTTAGTTCTATATTTTTGGTGCTTTTAATTTGTATTTGAGCTTTCGGAGGGTATAACATCTCTTGATCCGACATCAATCGATACAATACTTGTTCTCATTAAACTATTAAAATTTCCCCTTTTGAACCATTTTATGGCTATCAACCTCCACTACACTTTCCATATTTTCCCAGTGATTGTCAAATGGCAGATGCAGATAAACTTTTGAAGCAGAAAGAAGACATGATTGTTATGCTTAAGTATCATTGACTAAAGCACAACATTGTATGAAATATTTGGCAGACAAGAAATGCAGTGATAGAGTTTTTTCAAATAGGAGATTGAGTTTACTTAAATTACAAGCTTCTAGACAAGAGTCTGTGGCAGCTCGTAGAAATCAAAAACTTTCACCAAGATATCATGGTCCTTTTCAAGTGATTGATGAGGTGGGTCATGTAGTGCATATACTCTAAAGCTTCCTTTCCACTTTTTGATTCATCCTACTTTTTATGTTGTTTCTCAACTTAAACTTGCATACGGTCGTGTTGAGGTTCAAGGAGAGATGCTTGTTGTATTGCATGGTCCTGCCATTCTAGTGGCAGTCTTGGATCATAAAATGGTGAAAAAGGACAATCGAGCAGCAGCAAAGCCATTGATTCAATGGTCTAATGGATAACCTCTGGATGCCACTTAGGAGATTTCTTCTTAAATAGAGAGGTATTTCCCTAGTTTTGACCTTGAGGAGAAGGTCTCTCAAGCAGGGATTATTAATGTAGGGATTTTTGGAATTGAAGTTATCAAAGATGAAGGACTAAATGTGAACGAGATTACTCTAGAGGGACTGGAAATGAGGAAGCTAGCAATTCTGGGAGAGAATTAATATGGTGCTTGTGTGTGTGCGTGTGAGGAAGTTAATGAAATCTAGTATCAATTAATTTTCATAACTGTTTTCATTTTAATTGATTGAAATCTAGTATCAATCTTTGTATTAATTGATTCTATGGCCTGCAAATTCAATCCCTAGTTCTTCTGTTGGAATTTGGAATTGAATCAGATTAATAATATTCGTCCATTGGCTTATAAAAAAAGCAGAAGAATTTATAACTTTGTTTGAGGAATTGATATACGTAAATTATAATTTTGTAAATTATAAATTTATTTGATGTCAAATCATTATCCTAGGTATTGAATGAGATACAAACTATTGAAACTTTATAACAGGTGGTGTATTCTCAATTTTTTATATGATTGGAGAAAGATTTTCTAACATTCTTCATCATTTTTTGCGCTTTTTTTTTTTTTTTTTTTTTTTTTTTTTTAAGGTTTGTCTAATGATTTAGTTTTGAGAGTTTTTGTTGGACAGTTGAATCTCATAGAAATAAGCAGACTATTCTCAACCTTGTATAAAATGTTGTATAAGTTCTCTAACATTAGGCATATCAAGAAATTAAGAGAGAGAAGTCGGGGTTTTTTTTTTTTGTTAATTATATATTAATTAATTATTATTATTTTTTACTCATACACTTAACGCTCCAAACAAAACTAGTCTGCTAATAAATTATTAAAATAATGATAAATGTTGATTATTATCAATAATCCAAGCTAAACGTTCATCAAGATCTTTGAATTTCCTTCAAATTGTCTCATTATTCTCCAATGTGGCTATCATGGACAAATATGAATATATATCTAACAGTGATATATAATATTTAACTCAACTCCCTCAATTTTAACTACTAACCCTCATCTGTCAAGACTTCCCCCTCGTTGGCATCATTGCTTCCTTCTACCGCACAAGGACCATAAGCCTTGCTACAAGCAAGATAATATATGAAGTTAACCAAACTGAAACCAGCAAGAAGCCAATAATAGTAATCATAATGCCCCTTATTGACGTTGCTTGAAACCCAACTCTCATGATCTTCTCCCTTAATGAAGTTGCGGACAATAGTTACTATTAAACTCGCTACCAAGTTTGCTGCAGACAGTCCCATGTCGAACAGATTGGAGGCTACACTGGACATGCTTTTAGGCAACTCAGTATAGAAGAACTCATTCTGTCCAATACCACAGAATGACTCAGCAAATCCAGTTATGGCAAAATATAGGAGCAACCACATTGCTGACATGTGTAGCACGGCATTTGGGTCATCTGAAAATCCTTCGGCGATTGCGGTTTTTCGCCGAACACTCTCTATCATTGCCAATGCTGCCATGGCAGCAGAGGATGATAGGATGCCAATTCCTATTCTTTGTTTCAAGCTGAGACGCGTAGGTTTTCCCCTGATTTTTGATGCTAGGGGGACGACAACACGATCGTAGAGCGCAATCCAGACTACCGAAGAAAATAACTGAAAGGCAGTGAAGGAGGCAGCAGGAACTTGAAATTTTGAAGTAATGTGTCGGTCCATAGTGGATGCCTGGAGTACAATAAAAGAGTGTTGAAGTACATTTATCGACATCAAGACTCCTGTTGACCATATTGGGATTACCCTGATTAGTGCTTTAAGCTCTTCTACTTCATCTACTGTACAAAGACTCCATGGATTTGAAGCTCTTCCATCTGGGGTCAAGTCTTCTTCAGGATTTTTAATAACACAAGCTTTGTTTAGGAACCTAAGACGGGGCAAGACAGAACACAGACCTTTCAGGAGTCAAAATTCTAAGTAGATATGTGTTGGTTTTGTGAAACACATAAAATCCTTGGTTGATTTGGAATTAGAAGACATAATAGCCTTATTATTGTGGTAAATTTTGAACAGAAGACGAAAATTTCAAGACAAAAAGTCTTTAAGCAAATAATGATACCTTAATTTTTCAGTTGGCACGACTAGTTTTGATCCTTTCCTATGATGATACACCTCATCTGTGGCTTTGGATGATAATTTGATACTTCTATTTCTAAAAGAGACCACCAAAACTCGAGCAAATCCAGCCAGCCAGCTTGCCTTAGCCTCTGACTTGATGTAAATGGGAGATGCCAAGAAGAATGTAAGAGTTGACAAGCTCATGAGCACCACAGGAATTCCAAAACCCACTTTCCACCCCATGTTATCCTGAATGTATAATATACAAGTCATGGCAAGGAATATTGCTACAGAAACTGTAGCATAGTACCAGCTGAAGAAGCTTTCTAATATTCCAGCGCGTCTAAGTTTGTCCCTCTTGCCCAACTGATCAGCACCAAAGGCCAAGGAAGATGATCTTATGCCACCAGCTCCAATGGCCATGAGGCCTAAAGCAGAATATAAAAGCAGAAGCTGTGAAGTTGATGCGGATTCGCAATTCTCGTGAAACTGGACACAAGAAGGCGGTCTTGCTCCTGGAATTATAGTTGTTAACCATAACAGAACCATCCCCTGCACAATAAAACTAATTTGTCTGCTGCTTGCGAGGTTGGTAGGCACGTAGACTAGAAGTTAGTCCCTTTTTTTCTTTATTTTCTTAGAATTCCTTATTTCTGAAATTAAAAAAATATTTTGAAGTACTTGAACCTCTTTTTGAAATAGAATTGTAAACTCATGGATTCATTTTTTTATTTTTAATTTTTTTTTTAAATTACGGTTCCTTATTTAGCCATTGGAATAACAAAACACTATTTAATTAATTTATTTGAACCTTAAAAATATTTATCACAGAACTATTAAAAAGAAAATAGTTTGACACATACAGTATACACAATATGTTTGTGAAAGTTTTAAGTTTATGTATTTTTTGTTTGCTACATTAGAAGGCTCGTTTCGAATTTAAACCTAAACTTTCAACTCTTTTTTACAAAAAAGAAGAAAATGACTACGATGATGATGACGATGATTGCAATTAGTGAATTATAGACACATACATAAAGTTAGAGGCTCAAGAGTGATCAGTAGCCCATAATTTTTTTTCTTTTTGTTTTATTTTTTTGAGAAGGAAAGGTCTGAAAATACAACCTGCCACCCCATCAATGAAGATTTCTCTTGTTGATTAGAGGTGGAGTCAGAATTTTTTTAAAAAAAATTAATTTTAATTTATCCCCTTGAAGTTTGGGTCGAATCCAGTTTCTATAGTTGAGATTTTGATTGTTTCAATGTCTCTAAAGTTTCAATTAGATATCAATGTGTCTCTTCAAGTTACCCAAACTAACAAAAATTTCAGTCTCTAAACTTTTTAAATTAATGTGACCCAAATCCTTTTTAAATAATTTTATGGGATCAAATCTTCTACTCCAATTAAATGGTCCATACTATATATATCATTTATATTAAAAAATATATAATATAAAATAAAATAATAAAAATTTATCTTTCTTTTAATAATATGATTTACATTGAAAACAAAGAAAAAAATATTTTGAAAATTTAAAAAATATTAAATTAGAAAGATCACAAAATATTAAAACATTAAAACTAATAAGTCTATTAAACGAAAATAAACAATTTTTAAACTTTTATACTCTTACAAATGCATAAAAAACAACAATATATTTAGTAAAACCAATTAATGCTGTTTCTGTTGCTGATAATTAAGAATATATGAAGATTAAATTCTCACATCACTTCAAACACTAGTTTAATTTATTATTATTTTTTTGAATCAAAGGAAGCAATCTGATTCAATTGGGCAAAATCAATTATGGCAAAGTTGAGTATATAGGATGAAGCATTACCAGGAGGCAAGAGATACATCCAAAGCCGATCATGGGATACCGACCCACATAAGTATCCGCAAGAAAAGCACCAAGAAATGGCATAAAATTGGCGGCAGCTGAATGAAGGTAGAGTATTTGTGCACCTTTAACACCATGTATACCATACTCTCTTGTCAAATACAATATCAGGTTTGTCGAAAGCCCATAATTTGCCAGCCTCTCAAATGCCTCGTTTACTGCAATTAAGTCACAAATTAATTTGAAAACACATCATATATAAAAGATAATCATATATATAGCAGATTTTTGTTTTTTTTTTTTTTTTGAATATGTACGTACCTATGATAAATATCAAGGCTCTTGCGCCACCCTTCGCTGTACTAGTGTCGCTCAAGAGTGGCTCTTCGATCATCCGTTTAGGATCTGAAGGATCTTCCATTGGATGTGTTCTTCCAGGACTCTCTTCTTGCTTGAGAGAGTACAACGGACTCTTGAAAATGAATCTTGCTGAATTCCTACGTTGTGAGAGAGGAGAGGGTTGCCAGTTGCCACACCATAATATGCTCCATCGATAACCTGTAGCTTGTCGGGTGATCCCCTACATTGGTGTGGGAGAACCCGCATATAAAAATAAGAAAATAAATAAATAAAGGAGGAAAACGAGGAATCATGGCTTTTTTTTCCTTTTAATAGGCAATTTATTTGAGGATCCAGGTTGGTCCTTAAGCCAAGGTTGATTTTGGCTTTGTTGTTTTGTGCATGCATGTTAGCATACAGTAAACTGCAGTGCAGCCTGAATCAAAAACCAAGAGGAACGGAGAAACTTGCGGGTAGGATTTTTTGAGAAATGGAATTTGTATATTCAACTACGCAAGTGATCTTAATGGATAGTATAAATTTACAAATTCGATAAAAATGAATTATTTTGCTTCTTTTTTTTTTCCGATTTTTAAGGACGAGCTAAATTTAATAAGAAGAAGATGATAAAAGCTAAAAAAAAAAAAAAAAAAAAATACAGGCACAATAGGAACAAACAAATAAGTAGAAAATATTGACAATTCTAAAACTCCACCCAGTGACCCTACATATAATCCACATGGTATTAAGGTCATGTTTAATACCCGTTGGAAAATTAATAATAAAATGTTAAGGTGAACTGAATTCAGAAACTTTTATTCAATGGTAAAGACTATAGATCGTGCCTTTGGAAGGAAAATTTTAGTGAAACAGATTGATAGCAGGCCGCTTTCCATGATCTAACAACCAAATTTTTGTAAGCATGCACTGGCAATGCAAAGCCACTAAATTGAATGCTCAAACCACTTCTTATATAAAAAAATAATTAGAACTAAAATTTTTTTGGAATAGTTTTGTAGCTAAAGAAATTCCTTTAAAATAAAAGTAGAAGATAGAAGAAGATAAACTTTGTATGATATCTTTCACCTATATAGAGTGCGAGATTTTGTAATGGGTCAATAAAACTTCAAGGTGGTATAAATACTATTAGTAAGCTAGAAAACATAATTTTTATATCATTTCAAAAATAATTACATAGATCTATTTTGAGAAGAGATACAAATACAAAGAAAAAAAATCATATCTATATCAATAAAAAAAATGATTAGAATTTTTTCATTAACTCAAAAATATATATTTTTTAAATTCTCGCTTTCTTGCTCTTCTCTTCTAATTATTTTTATCTATGTCTATAAAGTAATTATTGATAGTTATTTTCAGTATTCTAAAATTGGTCAATGGAATGAATCATATCTACGATAAAAGAGTTCTAACCTATAGGAAGTTTGTGAAATTTTAAAAAATTTATGAACCAAGTTTACTTTATTATAAACTAACAACTCATCATCCATATTTTCTCAAATTTAAGCACTTTATCTCAAATTTAAGCACTTTATATATCATAGTTGATAAGTTGGTGATCCTCAAATTATTTGAACATTTGGATGTTGTTTTTTCTTGGCTGATCGTATGGTGGAGATTCGTCCTTGTCTTGGCAATCTATGGCACGTAATTGCAAAATAAGTCCTTCTATAGTATTTAGAGGACTCTCCGATGACTAAGTTAGCATATAAAAAGTGGTGTTTGTTCTGATTAAGATTAATAGTATAACTTTTGATGAGTTTGATCTTAATATTCTTTAGTGTATTTTGCTATATTTGAAAAAGATATATAATAGTATTTTGTATGTGTGTAGAGTATAGAAAGCAAAATCCAACCATTAACATAATGTTTATATAGTGATAGAAAAGATCAACTTGCATGGAGTGAAGGACATATTCATCTTTCTCTCGAGGGTAAAATGATTTTTTTTCTTGGCATGCAATGGAATCGACTAGAGCTTCTACAAGTTAAGGATCCTTCTAATTGAATGCTTTATGGGTATCGATGCATGTGTCATCATTTCTAGTAGTAGTCGAATTATACCAATGAAAATAATTTATTATTTTTTATGCATTTGGGATATATATATATGTATGTATTAGACAAGTTTAGATTTTTTTTAATCTATAATAATTATTATTATCTTTGTAGATCTTTACATCTAATTTTTTTCTTTTGGGTTTGTGTGTGTGTGCACGTCTTTTTTATGATAGATTTATGTTTTTAGTATTTTTTTTATCTATTTTTTATAAGAGTTTATATATTAATATATAATTATTATAGAAAATTTCAATTATAAGAAATTAGGACTCTTGGTTAGCTCTTTTCATATCGAGATAACTTTAACCTTGGTAACATCCATCATCACTACCGAAATTCGGCATATAGAAACAAATTTTTTTGTCACTATATGTTAAAATTCTATTGCTATATACCATTAGCGATGGATTAGAGATAATATGAATTCCATTGCTAATATGGTGGACGTTATTTCCTTAGTGATCGAAATTTTTTTTTGTCACTAATTTTTTGAATTTACATCGCTAAATCGATCTAAAATAATCATATGTAAGGTTTTACATCCAAGGCCATGTCATCGTTATTTTTACTTATATCCATCATTAAATAGTGACGGAATGGGTGTTGCTAAATTATAGTCGTTAAAATCCTCGCAATTTTCTTGCTAAGTGATAGGGTGTCATACCATCATAAAATTAATTATTTCTTTTTCCTTACTAAACCCAATCATAGGACTATAGTTAGAATAACCAAGGGTCGATCCCAATCAATGTTCTCTATCATCTAATTTTTCCAAGGTATAAGGAATGGAAAGATGGGGGTTTTGTGTGTTGAGAGTAGTAAAGGTAGTCAAAGTAAATCAAGAGATAACAAGAGTAATAAAAGCCTTGGTCAAATTAAGATGGTTTTCATTTTTGTTTCAATTGTTGATCATCAATTCAGATATTAATCCATTCTTATTATGAATATTCACCGTAGAACAACAACAAGTATGTTATCCTCAATCTTTCCTTAGTGATTCGTTAATCGGTAGAAGCTATTTGATTAATCTCTAATGATTGAACAACCTAGTATAAGTTATCATAATTTAATCGAATAATAGCATTAAGTGATAGATAGATAGGTGAAACCAAACAAAACAACTCTCTTACAAGGTAGAAGAGTTTAATCTAGTTCTATGTTTTTCAAAGGATAAAACAAAAACACATTTATAATCATTAACCCCAAGTTGCTACTATAAGCAAGTTTAGATAAATAATTTTTAACTTAAATTCTTAGCTAGCAATAGATTATAAAAATTAACTAACTAGCGTGCACTTTAATCAATTAATTACATAACCATGTTCATAAAATATAGAAAAACATAAAATAACTAAAAAAATAAGATTAGAAATAGAATTTGTTTAGATCTCACAATGATTTTACCAAAGGCTTCAACCTTTCTTTCAACCAAGAAAGGGTTTTTGGTGCTGCATAGTTTTGCTTACAAAAGCTTTTCTATCTATGGTCTGTTAGAATGAAAGAATGAATAAAGTAAAACCTAACTTCTCTATTTATAGTTAAAAATCGAATTACAACACGTACATAGGCACTTCAAAATGTCACACGGTTTGTTTATTATGACACACGGCTTACTATTTGAATTAACTTAGTTTGGAGCCTTGAATAACCGGTGGCATACAATTTGCATGACTTAGGCACGGGACCATGTTACATTTGCTCTTCATCTCATGTCTCTCGGCTTCGCTCATGCGACATTTCTCTTTCTCTTGGTCGACAACCTAGCGATGAAACAAATGGGCGTGTCACTTCTTTTGTCCAAATTATGTTGATTACTACCGTCCGTGTGTCTTGTTTTACTAACCATCCATACGACTTCTTTTTTTGTTTCATATGGCCACTAGCTTTTCCTCTTATAAGTCACATGACCATGTGTCTCCTTTCCTTTAGCTTGGTCGTGTATGTTGTCTCCTTTGGGTCCTTCGTAGGCTTGGGCTTTCATGCACCTTGGCTTGGGTTTATGCACTTCGATTTGTCATTTTTTCTGCAAAACCCAAATACGATAAGTACTAGTAAGTTTAATGTAATACAATAAACATTAGTAAGCACTAATAAATTTAATGTAAAAGAGCGTAAAAGTTATGTAAATCATGTAGCGATCACTAAGTCCGTCACTAATAGCTATTATCTATGTCTTTGTCGCTGAATATCTTTGCAATTTCATCACTAAATCTATTACTAAATGTAGGAATTGTATTTTTTAAAATCAAGAGTCATATATTATTAATTGTAATAACAAACAATACCTTATTAAAACATGATACATTATTTAATAAAATTAAAATAATATAAATTAAAATAAAATAAATATATAAATATGTTAAGGTGTATAATTTTTTTTTAAAAGAAATCTAATCTTCATTATCATCATCTCCTGTATCATCTTTTAGTTGCTTGGGTGTTGAGAGGAACGATTGACACTTGGTTGTGGGAGGGTCAATAAGAGGGACGTGATTACGTTACGAGTTCTATAATAACCTCATCATTATTTGTAATCGACTTTGTATAATTCTAACTTGATCGGCTCTGTTGCTTGGATGGTAGCTTCTATTCCCTTGATCCTATTTTCATACTAGGTAGAAACCTTAAGGATGTTATCGTTAGAATATCGCAAAATGGGAGAAGAGGAGCCGGTGCCGAATATGAGTAATACTAGGACGCATAAGATTCGATGTCGTACACTCTTTGCTTCTTCTTCTTTCTAACAACATCCAAATATATCTTGGATATGTTGATATCTAGAGATGATGAATCACCCTTACGCCACTCTTTGACGATTGCTTCTTACATTGATTGCATGCGCTCTAATGTCATTGAAATAATTACAATATTAAATTATAAAAATATTTTTTAGATTATATATATATATATATAAAACCTTACCATTACTATCTATGATCGTCCGTAGATAAATGACCCATCTTTTCGCTGGTGATCTGGTCACGAAGAGTTCATAGATTTGGGTTACGATCCAATTTATTATAATAAAAAAATAGATAAAATAATATAATAAGCAATAAATACAAAATTTATTGATAGCACAATGAATAATATAGGATTTACCAAATGATTAGCATGCTTAATCAAAGAGATGAACCCTTTAGCATGCTTGGATGGGCAAGCACCAACACCACTTGTCTTTGACGTACGGTTTTGAGATGCCCGTTCGGATCGAGCCTAATACTTAAGAGTGACCCAATCCTAGTGTCATGTTTCCCACACCTCCTGTTTAACAAATGTAGGCTCGTTGCTTCTATGCTTCATCTTGTTAAGCAAGTTGTCATACTCGCCTCGCATTAGACTCTCTCATGCATCCTTAATCGAGCACATCGATGATCATATTCCATAAAAAGTACCTTTATATGAAGAAAAAAATAATATTAGTATTTTTCATGTTAAATTAACACTTTAAATAAAAATATAAGTATTTTTCATGTAAAATTAACACTTTAAACAAATGTAGGCTCGTTACTCCTATGCTTCATATTGTTAAGCAAGTTGTCATACCGCCTTTGCGTTAGACTCTCTCATGCAACCTTAATCAAGCACGTCGATGATCATATTTCATAAAAAGTACCTTTATATGAAGAAAAAAATATTATTAGTATTTTTCATGTTAAATTAAAAATTTAAATAAAATATAAGCCAATAATTAATATATTATCCTAAACTCATTAAAGTAGAAGTTTTTCATTTTCATAAAGACGGACTTTCAAGTGGAGCCGGCGACATCCAACCGCTCTTTGAAAATTATAGTAATTTTTTAGAGCTCTTTCTTGATTGAACCAAGTCTGTAAAAAAAATTAATAATAAAAATTTTAATATAATATATAAAAATATAAAACTAATTATCACATGTAAAAAATATTACTTACCAGTTATTCACGACCTAAATGGTCCGTTCATCATCAAATTCGGTAGAGCTTCTTAAAGTTGAGAAAATTATTGTATGGATATCCACAATAGGGGGCACTACCAATGGAGGCATATGAGGGCACTACTAGAGGGGATGCGGATAAGTTGACACTATTATCAAGTCCGCAATCCCGGATACTTGAACTAGCGGCGCCAAGTCCACATACACCACTACTATCAATTGCGGGGTCAACATCAAAGCCACGGTCATTGACACCGCAGTTAGATCCGATCAATTCACAAGACAAAACTCAAAAATAACATCTAAAATAGTTTAACAAATGAATAACAATTAGACTAAAAATATATTAGAAATTATACAAAATTTCCACGAGTATCCCCTCAAAATTACACATTTCCCAATGAACGAGATACTCCAAATGATCACATAAATATTAAAATTAAATCAACTAACAATCAATTTATGAACATCGAGATTAATACTTGTCTCAAACACTCCATCCAAATTAAATCCCAAACTCATCCTCCCATCTCCATCGTAAAGCATTGAGCCAATATTTTTTTCTCCTTAATTTTTGAGGGTCTTGAGCCTCTTGGGTTCGATGCATTATAACGTATCTCGACACACTTCAATAATTATATACAAAATAATTAAAATAATTAATTTTGTATTTAACCTAATTAATTAATTAATTATAAATCAATTTAACTTAATTAATTCTAACTCTATCCTAATTAAGTTTTAAAAAACCACAAATTAACAAGTTTTAATATAAATAAAATTATAATTCAACCAATTAAACAAAATTAACCTAATTAATTAATTAATTATAAATCAATTTAACTTAATTAATACTAACTCTAACGTAATTAAGTTTAAAATAACAATAAATTAACAAGTTTTAATAGAAATAAAATTATAATTCAACCAATAAACAAAATTGATATAATTAATTAATTAATTATAAATCAAATTAAATTAATTAATTTTAATTCTAACCAAATTAAGTTTAAAATAACAATAAATTAAGTAGTTTTAATATAAATAAAATTATAATTCAACCAACTAAAGCAAATTAATTAATTAAACATAAATCAAATCAAATTAATTAATTCTTATTCTAACATAATTAAGTTTAAAATAACAATAAATTAATAATTTTTAATATAAATAAAATTATAATTCAACCAATTAAACAAAATTAACCAAATTAATTAATTAAATATAAATCAAATCAACTTAATTAATTCTAATTCTAGAAATATTAAATTTAAAATAATAATTAATTGATAAATTCTAATATAAATAGAATTAAAATTCAAAAAATTAAGCAAAATTAACCTTATTAATTAATTAAATATAAAGCAAATTAACTTAATTAATTCTAACTCTAACCAAATGAAATTTAAAATACAATTAATTAAAATTTTCTAATATAAATAAAGTTAAAATACAACCAATTAAACAAAATTAACATAATTAATTAATTATAAATTAGATTAACCTAATTAATTCATATTCTAAAAAAATTAAATTTAAAATAATAATTAATTAACAATTTCTAATTTAAATAAAGTTAAAATTCTACCAATTAAACAAAATTAACCTAATTTATTAACTAAACATAAATCAAATTAACTTAATTAATTCTAATTCTAACTAAATTGAGTTGAAAATAACAATTTATTAACAATTTATAATATAAATAAAATTAAAATTCAACCAATTATACAAAATTAACCTAAGTAATTAACTAAGCATAAAGAAAATAAAATAAAATAATTAAAAATCATTTTTGATTAAATTTAAATAAAAATTAATTAATGAATTTACCTAACAATTGACAAAATTTAACAATTTAACAATTTAACAAATTAATCAATAAATTAACCTCACAATTAACAAAAGTTAACAATTTAACAAATAAATCAACAAAATAATAATTAAATATATACAAAATTATAAATCAAATAATTAAACTTAAAATTAACCTAAAAATTATAAGAAATTACTAAGTTTAATTAAGAAAATAAAAGAAAGAAAAAACTTGCCTAATTCGAGTGGGATTACACTAAACGAAGAGAAGAAAAAAGAAGGTTTTTTTTTTTTTGGGAGAAAAAAGCTTGGAAGGGATATGGATTGATTGAGATTAGAAGAGTCGAGTTTGGTGGTGGTTGGAAAGGGGAGAGATCGACGACCGGTGGAAAAAGGAGAGGAAGAAGGAAACGAGAGAGGAGGAAGAAGTAGGGGGTTTGATTAGGGATTAAAAAATAGCGATGTACGTGATACATTCGCCGATCTATGGCTAATTTGTCAAAAAGTGGGCAAAGCCGGCCATCCATTTTTTATATAAAGTGACGGATGTAATTATCCGTCGCTAATTTGATGGTTTTGACTTTCCAAAAATGTGCCCAATGTTTCACATTTAGCTATAGGCTTTCCTATCGCCGATTTACGAGAGATTGACAACGGATACGGATAAGCAATTCTGTTGCTATATTCCATAGCAAATCCATCACTATATTTTGTAATAAATCCATTACTAAATCATCTCTAAAACTACCGAGAACATTTTGTCATCAAATTTAGCGATAGATTGGTGTCGCTCTCTAATAAATTGTCACTAATCCATCCCTATTCCATCACTTGTTCCAATAAGCGTTATTCTGTCGCTATTTGCTTACTATTTAGTGATATAAGTTTATCCATAGCTATTGTCCGTCACTATTTGATAGTTTTTTTATAATGCGTCAACCTTCCTTCTTTAATCTTATGCTCTAAGAAGTATACTTTTTCTTTTATGAAGGGTTATTTTTTTCTTTTAAAATACAACTCATTCTCCTTTAATACCTTAAATATAGTAGGTAAGTGGTCTACATGTTCCTCTAGTGTCAAGCTATAGACCAAAATATCATCAAGATAGACCATTACCAAGTTGGTCTAGGTATATCTAACATATTTTATTTATTAAGGCACGGAAGATAGTCGCGACATTCATTAGGCCAAATGATATAACAAAAAACTCATCGAAGTCATACTTTGTCACCTATGTTGTTTTTTCACATCTTTTTACAACAATTCGAATTTAATAATAGCTTGATTTTAAGGCAAGCTTGCTGTAGAATTGAGTTTTTCCCAACAAGTTATACAAGTCTACTATTAATAGAATTGGGTAATGGTTCTTCACCATCACTTTCTTTATTAAATGTTATTTAATAAAGTGGTTATAAAATAAAACTAACTATATCAATAAGGTGGTTATAAAAATTTGTTAGTTAAAATACCATTTTGTTTTTATTTTGATTAAAATCTCATGTTTTCCCATAAATATTGATTTTTTTTTTAATATATTGTTATGTGGTTGGTGAGTTTTCAACTCAATAATGCTAAATTAAAATGGCAGGATTAATATATAAAACTTGTCCCACAAGATCACAGCTACGTCACGTAGGGAGTCCTACTCAATCCTTATATATCTACCCCTACCTAGCTTGGGACCACAATAGATTTTTATTTTTTTAACTGAACCACATTATAAGATTTGCTGCATATAATATATATTATGTGGAACCCCTCCAGAATATATATATATATATATATATATATATATATATACAGTTTTGTTTACACATAAAATAATATCACATTGGAATATTCAGATATAAGGAGAGTGTAAAAAATAAAAGATCAGAACACATACAAATCTTGAATATTTCTAAGATCATTTTTCAAACTCTACATGTGAAGCAACAATTAATGCATGAGAAACACAAACCAGAATCCTGGAATACTATATAGTTCCTTCACCTAGTCTCACTATTTTACATTATACGGTAAGGATGACAATAAAATACAAAGATTCTGAGCCTTAACTACTATAATTGTCGTCGTCATCAATCAATCCTCCCCTATCATCTGCGGCAATGCCCCTCCCTTCTCCCTTACAAGGACCATAAGCCTTGCCACAAGCAAGATAATAGATGAAGTTACAAAAGCCCAAACTAGCAAGAAGCCAATAATAGTAATCATAATGCCCTTTGTTGATGTTGCTTGAAATCCAATTTTCTTGATTTTCTCCGCTAACAAAGCCACGAACAATACTTACTATAAAACTGGCTACCAAGCTTGCAGCAGACAGTGCAATACCAACAAGATTGGAGGCTACACTAGACATGCTTTTAGGCAATTCAGTGTAATAGAACTCATTCTGTGCAACACCATTCATAGCCTCAGCAAATCCAAGTAGGAAATAAAATGGCAATAACCACATTGCAGACATGTGCATAACCGCGTCAGGAATATCTGAAATTCCTTCCCTGATTGCAGTTTCTCGTCGAATCCTTTCTGTGATTGCCAATACTGTCATGGAAGCAGAAGATAACAGAATTCCAATTCCTATTCTTTGTTTTAAGCCCAGACGAGTTGGTTTCCCCATGACTTTTGATGCTAGAGGGATGATTGCACGATCGTAGAGAGCAATCCATATTGTTGAAGAGAGCAACAGAAATGCATAGAATGATCCAGCAGGAATTTCAAATTTTGAAGTGATATGTCGGTCCATAGTGGATGCCTGGAGTATTAAGAAAGAGTTCTGGCATACATTTACAGACATCAAGATTCCTGTCGACCATATTGGGATTACCTTGATTAGTGCTTTTAACTCTTCTACTTCATCTACTGTACAAAGACTCCATGGATCGGAAGCTCTTCCATCTGGCATTAAGTCTTCTTCAGGATTCTTAATAACACAAGCTTTGTTTAGAAACCTAAGACAAGATAAGACGAAAAAGAAATTAATCCTTTTAGGAATTATCATAAAATCCTTGTACAAATGTGTTCTTGACAAGTAAGTTATAATTACCTTAATGTTTCACTTGGCACGACAAGTGCTGATCCCTTCCTATTGTGATACACCTCATCCCTGTGGTGGGATGATAATTCAATGCTTCTCTTTCTAAAGGAAGCGACGAGAACATGAGCAAATCCGATGAGCCAATTTGCCTTAGCCTTTGACTTGACATAAATGGGAGAAGCCACGAAGAATGAAAGAGTTGACAGCATCATGAGCACCACAGGAACTGCAAAACCAACCTTCCACCCCATTGAATCTTGAAGGTATACTATGCAAGTCATGGCAATAAATACTGAAGCCGAGGATGTTACATAGTACCAACTGAAGAAGCTCTCGAATATTCCAGCATGTTTAAGGTTGTCTCTCTTGCTCAATTGATCAGCACCAAAGGCCAAGGAGGATGATCTTATGCCACCAGCTCCGATAGACATGAGGCCTAAAGAAGAATATAGAAGCAAAAGTTGTGGTGTCGTTACGTCATTATTGCATATGCCACTAAATTGTGAACAGGTAGACGCCCCTGCTTCACGAATTATTGTTGTCAACCATAATAGAACCATTCCCTGTACATTCGTTTGATTTCAATTATTTTTTTTTATACTAATTCAAAGTTTTCAGAATTTTTTTCCTTTTGTTCCCTTTTTTTTTTTTTTCAACTAGAACTTTCTTTAAGATAAATGCAAAACTTTACTTGAATAAAAGTATAATTGATTAATAAAGAAATTGAAATGGATAAGCAGTCTTATGGAAGGCTACGCCAGACATGCATACATTATCCTAAAATGTTTCGTTCCATTGAAGTTCAATTGGGAAATATCTCAATATCCTTTTATATTTTAGAATTCCTCTCGAATACATCTCAATAAATTTTCATCATTTTATTTTTATGCTCAAACTACCAATATCTAATATTTTGAAAACCACTGTCAAACACATGATTTATTTCTTTTTGTGCATTTAGTAAAAATTTGACAAGCAAACATGAGAACTATATTAAAAAAGAAAAAAAAATGAGAATAGTTTATGGTGTTATAAGAGACAGTAATGATTATATCTTATCTTCAAATCGGTGAATTTCAGTAATTTTTTATAATTCATTCTAATAGAACGACTTATTGAAGATTTTGTAATAAGTTAAAGATATAATGATAGATGTAGTAAAACATGTTGGGACGGTGGGATCCATTGGAAACAATTCTTATAATATAAGAATAGATTACTATTTTCAAGTTTTATCTACGATAGCTTGGGAAATTTTAATTAATTCTTGTGAGCTATTAGATTGAAAGTCTTCTTCCAAAAGATAGTGGATCTTGAAGATATCTAATTGCTTATAAAATATATTATTGATACGTATGTATGCAAAAAATGCAAGTGAAAGACAATGATGTATGGTCCCAAGGATTAGGATATAGAATTTTTTTGTAACATTTCTTAATTCTCATCATTGAACTATACACGTAACTAAGAACAATGTTTTGAAACCTATCTCGTAGAAGAAATGATCTGGTTCAGCACTGGGTCACCAAAATATCGATTCAATCAATGGATCACTAGAGGAAATGTTTAAAACATCATCTTAATATACCTTGTTGTTTGCATATAAAAATGTGCGGTTGAGTGGTAAAAGCAAAAGTTTTTAAGGTATAAGGAGATTTATCAAACAGTGGTGGATACCTTTGGTGCTCAAAAATCTCAAAAGGCCACCGCATCTCTTCCCCAAACGAATCCTTATTTGCAAATCTTGATTAGTTGATATGATCCAAAACTCGTTTATTTTATTATTTTTTTTAATAAGAAAGCCTTGTCTTTAAGTATTTGCTACGATAAATAAATAAATAATTTAATTTTCGTGTTTCCAAAAAAGTTAATGTATAGTGATCGTAAATGGAGGACCTGTCGGCTTTAACGAAACTAGTGGCTGATAAAAAGGTGGAGTAATATTACAGAAAGTTTCCACTTACAGTGACTGCTTGGATAAAAATTAATTGATTTTCTATAGCTAATTTATATGAAAAAAAAGATTGTTTTTGCCAATCAGTCGTAGCTTAAGGAGGATTGGTGCCTCCTCTTTTAAACTTTTATTCACAGTCATCAATCACTCACTCGAAGATATGATCCAGTTTTTCCCTAGTCAGTTGTCACTAAATTAATGGGAGTCTAGTCAATAGGTAACTACTGACCGAGCAAAATCTTGATTCAGAGATTAAAAATTTTGAGAAGTATTGATGTGGGTAAGGACTGAGCTCAAGACTCCACCTCTCTTGTTTCCAAGAGAAGTATTGAGCAATAGATCCGTTGGCCAGACACATGATTGATTATCCTGGGGACAGACAGAAGGGAGAAAAACTATAGAGGCAAATTAAAGTGATCATGTCGATGCATGCAAAGTAGGAAAGAAATAATGTTACCAGAACACTAGCAAAACATCCAAAACCGATCATCCGGTATCGACCAACGTAAGTATCAGCAAGAAAAGCCCCAAGAATCGGCAAGAAACTTGCAGCAGCTGAATAAAAGAACAGTAGTTGGGCACCATCAGCAGCATCCATGCCATAATCTCCAGTCAAATACAATATCATATTTGTTGATAGCCCAAAACTTGCTAGTCTTTCCAGTGCCTCATTTGCTGTCAAAGTCAAAATATCAGTTGAAACCACGTATTTGTATGGTAAAAGGACGACCAATATATTGTTGTGTGAGGAATATATACCTATGATGAAAAATAAGGCTCTTATGCCACCCCTTGGGTTGCTGTTCAAGAGTGGCTCTCTGATCATCTCCTTGTGATCTGATTCTGGACTTGTCTTTATAAAAAACGTGTCTTAAGTACTGCTGCTTCGATTGACTGTTGTGAGAGATCACAGGGTGTATATATATATATATATATATATATATGCCCAGTGATTTGTTGCATTCAGTAAGATGTACGTAGGTGTTGACTGCGTTTGTTTTGTTTTCTTTCTAATATTTTCCCCTATTAGTGATGTGTGGTTCTGGTTTCATAAACTGTCCTTCTGACTTGTAATTTTTTTATCATAACAAATAACTGGATCAATCTTTATCTTTATAAAATATAATAGATTAAGTTTTTAGTTTATTTTTATACTATAATTATATATATTATATTTTTAAATAATGTTTAAATCTTTAATCTATTTTTTAAAAAAACATTATTCAAAAACATATTAGATACAAACTAAAATATAAAAACAAATTAAAAATTCTAACTATTATAAAACATAAATTTAACTATTTAACTTCAGTTTAATCAATAAAATCTGATTCCAATATTTCTATTCAGCACCAAGAAATATAGTTGGAATGTTTGAGGTCGCTAGATTAATTCTTTAATAATATAGGATTTTGCCAACTCACTTTTTTTTTCCATGTAACTATATATATATACTGAGACAATAACGTACGTAACTTCCCACGCAAAATTATAATGTAGATTTTCTTACAACTTGTCCACGTTTTAAGCTAAGTAGTTTACCCATTAAATTACATATACTAGTTAATCCAATCAACTTCATGATCTTTAACGAGGACAGTGCACGTGTCATGTAATTTTTTATGTCTGATAAAACTGCATACTTATTTTATTTAACACACCGTTTCGTCTGAACCAAATAATAATAATAATTAAAAAAAAAAAAGAGTACGCCGTTTTATTCACGGTTGTTGGACTCCAACTTGCATATATATATATATATATATATATATATATATATATATATATATATATATATATATGTTTATGGTCTATAGATTTCATGTTTAGCTCTGTGTTATAAAATTTAGGGTATAAACAACTGAGTTGGCATACTTGTGGTAAGTCCCGACGGATAGGGCAGTAAATCAGGAGTTATATATATATATATATATATATATATATATATATAGTTAAAGAATAAATATACACATTTAAGTTTGTACAATATTTAAAACTTTTCAAATGCATTTAGATTTTCAATTATATCATATTATTTTTTGAAAGTGTGTGAACTGTTTAATTTTTTATTTTGATCAATTTTTTCGACCATATATTTTTTTTATAAAATTTTTTTATTGAAATGTAATAAATAAATAAAATTTAAAAACTTCAAAAATAAAACATACAAGTTCAAATGACTTTAAGTGTTTTTTTTTTTAATCTATGATTAGAAAAACAGATTGAATATTTTAAAAATTTTCAAATAAATTAATTGAAAGTTTTAAAAAATTTCAAGTTTGGAGTACATCAAAAATATTTTGATTTTTTTATTTTGATTTGAATTTCATGTGTTTAATTTGTGCATATTAAAATGAGTTTTGAAGTCCTAAACAAGTTTGTTGACGTTATCTTTATAATTTTGAGGTATTTTTAGATAAAATAAATCTAAAGTTAGCTAGGTTTGGAGAGGTCGAAAATTAAAAATGCGACTTTCTGGCTATTTTTTTTCAACAAAATGGAGTTTGTTGTAATAATTGCAGATAGATGATGGCAAGTAGACCATGTGTCGTCTAATTTTTTTTAGCATGACCTATGCGGGCCTGGTCCTCTAGGCCTAAGCATTCGGGCCAGGTGCTCTAGGCTCACGTGCTTATGCTTATTATTTAAATTTTATTTTTTAAATTTATCATTTTTTATGAAAATTTTTATCTAAATAATTTTTTATTTTTTATAAAATTTTATTTATTAATAAATATAATTTATTTATTTTTCTATGTATGAGTTTGAAAATAAAATTTTAAAACATAATGGTTTTCTCTTTTTTTAATATATATATATATATATATATCGGATAATTTATTTTAGCTCATTAAATATGGTCATGAAGTATATATAAAAAAAGCTATTGAATCATTAGTTTTATTAAAAATTAACTATACATCTATACAAAAAATACCAACCATTTTCTATGAATATTTTATATTATTATTATAAAATTAATTTCTTTAAAATAAAATAATTAAAATAATTTTTAAAAGAAACCTCTCAATGATTCAAATATAATTTTTTATACTAGCATTATTGATTTTTTTATGAATATATATATATCAAATGTATATGCTTTTAAAAAATAATCTTTTCATCAATATTAAATAATTACTTTTTCATGTGTTAGTTTTCATACAAGTTCATACATTAATTGTAACTTTATTTTTTTATATAATCTTATGAAAATATATTTTTAAAATATTTTTTAATTTTGGATTAATTTTTCAATTAATATTATTATAAATTAATCAATGTATAAAGAAGAATGAATCATATTTTTTAAGTAGAAAATTTATATATATAAAAAAGCATAAGGAATAATTATTTAAATAGAAGATTTCCATCAAAAAAATTATAAATTGTTTTTTTAAAAAAAAATTGATTCAATATATTTTAATAGATTTGCATCATATAAGGTAAACAATCAAATTAGAATAATTTTATTCTATCTAAACGGTAGCGTGGCAAAACTCTTAATAATTCAAACAAATATAAAATTCAACTGAGCTATCACTTTTAAGTGGGTTTAATTTTCAGTCAAACTGCAACTTCTATCAGAAGGATAAGAGTGGGCCGGAGGGATCTGTGGTATTCTGCAATGGGATTGTGCTATACATGACTTTTGAAGTATGATAATGGAGAAGTCAGGTGAAAAGTCCCCCCACGTAATATATATATTACGTGATTTGGTACAATGATTGTTATGCTTTTTGGCTTTTTAAATCGTTTCTTTTGTAAACAAATATGATGATGGTGCTCAGCAACGAGCGCGTGCCTAGGGGACCATGAGTTCATTGTTTGTGTACAGGGGACCATGAGCTCATTGTCTATTTTCAACCGTAAGGATATAACGGAGTTAGTATGTACGACGAGATTAAGTCTTTTTTTTTAAAAAAAAGATTTTAAAAATATAGTTCTCACATCAATTCTTAAGAGATTTTAAAAATATACTTTGTATATATATTCAAAGAAGTTCAGTAAAAATTTCTCGGTACATTATTTTGAGATACTATAATTCCAATATTGTTAGAAAATAAAAAATATATTCCCTCTATTTTTTAAAGAATTAATTGATTCATCTATTTTTATATATTGGGTGGTATGTTATCATAAGTTATTTTAAGATTTTTCACTCCGATATGCTTTTATATATTCATATTTTTTCCCATATAACTTTTTTTTATTCAATTTTTGGACTAAAATGCTTATGAACATTAAAAAAAAGAAGGTAAATTTGAATTTTTTTCTAAGGTTTATATATTTCTCAATATCACCTATAATATTTGATTTAGTTCAACACAATACTTTTTTTTTTTTCACTTTATGTAAATTTCAATTTTGTCTCCAAAAAATTATAGAATACCTCAATATAACACAAAAGGTATGACTGACAAAAATTAAAATTGAAAAAGATCATTAAAGAAAGACATTTTTTCCAATATATATATAAAACACTATCTAATAATCATTTAAAGCTTTGAAAAAATAGGATCGCTCGCAAAGATCACAAGGGAGAAGAAGAATAGCTCACGCCTATATATATAACACTATCTAACGAGTCATTTGAAGCTTGGAAAAAATAAGAGCACCCGTAAGATCACGAGGAGAAGAAGAATAGTTCAAGCCCATGGTGGCCGGCCACCATTCGTCGCCCCATCTACAATGTTAGCTATATCTACTAGACGGCTAAACCAAGCCGTGGGGGAGTTGCGGGCTTTGTCTGTCAAGGTAGATCATAATGCGAAACATGATGCAATCAACTTGGATAGTACCCTAACACAAAATATGATAACCTAGGATACATTATTGTTGAGAACAACATCCGGATTACATATGCTAAGAGTCGTTTCTCACCGGAATGAACAACTAACTAACCCTAAAATGCCAAAACCATACCTACTCAAGGAAATACCTCTTGCACCTAGACAACCCGCATCATTAATTTAGAACCGGTTTGTTTCTTCTCTTCAGTGGAACTAGAAATAGCAGCTACACGGTTCAACCATACTCTAATTTTGAAATTCTCAAAAGGTGATCCGCTATCAAAGATATCGTCTCTCATATTTAGAGATTATGGAATCTCATGGGTGAACCGAGTGATAAGGTTATTGGACCCTAGGCACGTTATGGTTTAATTGGAAATAGAAGATGACTTAACTCGAGCTTTATCAAGAGAAGACCATAAGATTATGAACTACATATACCATGTGTTTAGGTGGAATGCCAATTTTTAGTTTCGAAGGGACGATCCTCTCATATCTATTTAGGTTAGAATGCATCACCTACCATTGCTTTATTTTAATCCTTCATATCTCAAATGAATAAGAGAGGGGATTGGAGGTTTCTTCGTGGTCGATGAAAGGACTCTAGTGCTTACTCACCCTATGTTTGATAGGATATGTCTAGAGGTGGATGTTTCACAACCTTTTTCGAGTAGAATTTAGGTGGGCGACTCAAAGAAGCAAGGTTTTTGACAAAAGATTGAGTATGAAGGCAACTTGGTATATTGCAACGTTTATGGCTTTTAGGACACAATGAGGATATGTGTTAAAAGAAATCTAGAGGGACTCGAGCAGTGGATAGCAATCGAAGAAAGTACAACAAGTTGAAACAAGGAAGAAGTTTGATGGGGGTCCAAAAGAAAAAGACCAATGGGTTTGTGTGAACAACAAGAAATCAACCGATAGGGTACCATTGGAGAGAATGGCCAAGGAACATGCTAATGAGTCTTTTAGAGTGATGGAAAAGGGAGAATGCAGTAACCAAACCAAACAATTAGATGTGTGTATTCGAAGA